ATTCTCATCGTCATCATCATTATCGATGACATCAGCATTAAATAATTCTTCATCGCGGTCGTCGTCCTCAATGACATCCCTCATCATCGTCGTGATCGTCAATGACGTCAACATTAATTAATACCTCGTCCTTGCAAAAACGTCTTCATCCTCATCCTCATCCTCATCGTTGTTATTATCATTTTTATTATCATTTTTATTATGGATGACGTTAGCTTTAATTAAGCTTCGTCGGGCTTGCTCCTCCTCCGCCTCCTCCTGCTCATCATCATCATCATTATCGCTATTGTTGACGTCAGCAGTAATGATGGTGATGATGGTGATGATGATGATGATGATGATGATGAAGATCAGTAAGGATGACGAAGGTTTTTTTTTTTTTTTTTTTTTTTTTTTAAATTAAAACAGGGCCTTATGGACCTGGCTCCATATCCATTGTGGGGACCGTCATTTTTTTAAGGACGACGAAGGAGGCTTCCTTCTTAATTAAGGAGTTCTCAATCATTGATGAGTTTGATGCCCCCCGCCCCTGACAAGTCGATGATTTGCGGTTTTGCTTTTTTATGTTTATTATATTTTATAAGAGATATGAACAATTTAAAATGCATATAGATTTAAAAAAGATACCGATCATCATTAGTGAGTGCACTCCCCCTTTGCACGAAAGGGAAAAAAAAAAAGGAAAAAAAAAAGAAAAGTAAAAAAGGAAAATAATACCTTTCTCGGCCTTTTGGCTAAGATAAAGTGTAGTTTCTGTTATCTGATCAGTTTCATATCTGATCCGTGGTCCATCGGACCACACGATATTAAATTAATTTTTCTGGGTCACGGATTTAAAAAAAAAAAAGAAGGAAAATAAAAATGCATTCATATTCCAACCGATAACGTCTTGACCACCTCGTCATTGAAATGATTGCCAGCGATTTGTCGTCATCGACGACCGTCTTTTTTTTTTTTTTTCTTTTTTCTTTTAATAGCGACATTATCAGAAATCAACAATTGGTACACCCTTGCCATGAACTCTCGAAAGACGGACTCAAGCTCGAATCCAGATACAATCTGTTGAACCGAACAAGACCATTCTGTATTTTACTATTTTTCCATTTTTTTTCTTTTTTTTTCTTTTTTTTTTCTTTTTTTTGGAGTTACCGTATTATGTTGCATAACGAATTTCTTGGCTGGTCAGATGAATAATTAAATAAATTTAAATAATTCTGATGAAATACCTGGGGCTGGTCAGTCCCGCGATTATTCCTCCACGCTGTCACCCTTTCCCCCCCCCCAAAAAAAAATGCAGCAGTTTGTTCCTTTTTTTTAATTTTATTTTTATTGGAGTCCGACTGTACACCCATAATCTGATGGCGCACAGATATGGGGACCCCGGACCCCTCTAAAAATTGGCCAGGCACAGCACGACTCTATGCATGCGCGCACCGGCCATAGGTAAGTCCCTGGCCTCCTAGATAGCCCAGACCAGTCAGTTGATGAGGAAGTCTCTTTGATGATGAATAGCTCTCTCTCTCTCTCTCTTGATGATGAATCTCTCTCTCTCTCTCTCTCTCTCTCTCTCTCTCTCTCTCTCTCTCTCTCTCTCTCTCTCTCTCTCT